GATACGCTACTACAAACGGCTTAATTTGTCTTTTATGTTATTTTATTAAGCAGGATTTAGTAAAGATATATCAATAGTATATTTGGTTTTAAAGGCAAACTGGGCTATGTTTTCATAAATGGCCCGATACTAAACAGGCTCAGAAATGGGTCTAGCTCCCTAATTCAGTCTCATTTCGTAGGAAGTTACCTTAAGGATAATGCCTAGGTCGGTTGATTTGTGGCCGCTCTCCGAGGGAAGGGATGGAGGTCCTTGGCCCTGACATGCTGCTATACTCCGTTACCGCCCTACGCAAACGCGTTACATAGACGCGGTCATTGCAATATTTATAATCCTTAGTAAAGAAAAATATTACTAAATACCGGGCACCATAAGGCTTATTCAAACTATTATCCCTAGGTAAACATACCTAGGTACTGTATGCACCCCCATTCCATGTTGATTTTATAATGCTTGCTTCTGTATTCCTAATAGGCAACAAATATCCCTTCTTTCTGTCACATCCTCGCCTATTCTACTGGAAGATATCCCCAACTTTATCCTAAACCGAAGCCACAGTCGTAGCAGTCAATCGAATCGCCTCTTCCTCGAGAGTTCGCCCATTTCATCTACTTAATCCATTATGTGTCGTGCGGCGGCTAAGGGGTCGAGGCACCCTTTCTCCGAGGCATTCAAAGAACCATCATCAGAGATGACGCAAGAAGACGTCAACACGGGGGGCAGCGACTCGGCGCTCGGCGCTCAAAATGGCGTCGTATACCTCCATGGCATTCAATTCTGGATGATCTCAAGCGCGTATGTGTATTCGTCCTGTTTGTCTTCCCTGATTAGGCTATTAATATATGCAGGATTGCAATCATGATGTTTATTGTAAACCTCGAAGTCCCAGTTGTCGTAACGGCTATAGTGGCCATCACGGACGACCTCGGCGGCTTCGATATCGCTAGCTGGGTGGTTTCCAGCTATCTTCTCGGATACGTAGGTTCGTAATTCCGTATCACCTCGTCAGTGGTTGCCCGAGCTTCGCTTACCACCCCGCCAAGCTGTCATTGTGATATTCGCCAAATCCAGCGATGTTTTCGGCCGGAAGCTCCTCTTCCTGATATCAATTGCTATCTTCGTCCTGTTTTCTGCCGCTTGCAGCGCTGCGCAAACTACCGTCCAGCTGTAAATCCCCCTCGACTCCGCCCCTTGTTGACAGACTAGATACTCACATGAATCTTCCAGTATTGCCTTCCGCGCGTTGCAAGGTATCGGTGGCGGCGGTTGTTTCTCTCTCTGCACTATACTCATCGTTGAGCTTGTCCCACCGGCGCAATACACCGAATACGTGTCGACCATATCAATTGTGAACGCCCTAGCACTTCTTCTCGGCCCTATTGTCGGCGGCGCCATCGCCGCTGCAGTAAGCTGGAGATGGATCTTTATCATCAAGTATGACTCCTCCATGGACCGCCCGGTTCTGTCCCATCGACTGACCCTGGTATCAGTGTCCCAATAGCAGCACCGGCATTCATCATCGCATCGCGTGCTATTCCCAAAGAGTTTCCGTATCACGGCCGAGCCGACCCGCAAGCCGACCCGCCCATCCAGAAAGCCAGAGACCTAATTAACAAGGCCACACTAAGCCGTATCGACATACCGGGGGCCATTCTCATCCTCCTCGCCACGGTGGCGCTGACGGCAGGTTTCCAAGAAGCCGATTCACGATTCCCATGGGGGTCAGCGTACGTGATTACGTTACTGGCGGGGTCGGGTCTCCTATGGACGACCTTGATCATCTGGGAACGATATGTCACGCTTTCTAATCGAGTGCGGGAGCCAATCTTGCCGTGGACTTTCATCACAAATCGCCAAATGCTGGGAATCCTCCTGTAAGGGTCAGACCAACGCCGCTATTACGGAACACGCTAACGTCAAGATCTTAGTAATTTCGTTCTCCTCGGTGGCCCCACGGTCATCGCTATGTTCCACATCCCTCAGCGTTTTCAATTGGTATACGGCACCTCGGGTCTCGACGCCGGCGTTCGACTGATACCCTTTACCGTAACAATCCCAGCCGGGATGATATTCTCCTCCACGATTGCCGGGCGGCTGAAGGTCCCGCCGCTTTACCTCCTCCTTGCTGGATCGTGCCTCCAAGTCATCGGTTTCGCCTTGTTGGGGACCTTGCCTTTGTCTCTGGAGATTCCGGGGCGCATATATGGCTTCGAGTTCATCGCCGGGTGGGGATGTGGGATGAACTTCGCCCTGCTATTCGTCCTGATCCCTTTCGTAAACGAGAAGCGCTATCACGGTGGGTTCGGCCATAGCATTCCCTGTACCAGGCGATGTGGAATTCTTATAGGGTATATAGATACTAATCTATCTTAGCTGTTGGTCTGGGGAACGGAGCCCAGTTCAGATTTATCGGCAGCGCCATGGTCCTGGCCATCTCGACTTCGGTATTCAACGGCTACACCCGGCCCCAACTTCAGTCCTTCCTAGGCGTTACGGACGCGGGCGCTCTACTTCACGTAGGGGGTGCGCTAACATCCTTGCCCCCCGAGATTCAAGAGCAGGTCCGGCAGCTGCTGGCGGAGGGATACAATCACGCAGTCCTTGTCCTCTGCGTCTCGGCGGCGTTGCAGGTCCCTGCTTCACTTCTGATGTGGCAAAGGGAACAGGTCCGCATTTGAATTGCATATTAGAACGAACATTCAAGCTTGCTATAAGTGATATTGGCGGTAGACGGGTAGACTGTCGTTCCTAGCGTCTTGAAAAAAACAAATCGTATTCTTAGGGAGAGGGGTGAGTGTGTGGGTATATAGGACGATACCTAGGTACAAACCAGCCTCGAAACTGGAATGGCATGAAACCGAACGATGCGGTAGTAACAATATAGGCATGCTCTTCTAGGAGCCCTCGAAAGATACATGTAAGTTAGACAATTCAAAATTGAGATAACATCTATTTATGATTGAGTTGAAAGCAACTGCAGCTTACTCTAGGTAATTTAGGTA